GCCTTGGTTTATAATTCCAATATTCATTATCACTACCATTATATAGGCTGTATATGTAGAAGGTATAAATAGTATAGACTCAATCCATACTAACCTTGAGGAGAAAAATTGTTTCATCTTATTTTCTTAATGTTAGGCTTTTCTAAAAAGAAACAAAGGGAAATTTTATTTAAGCTTTATTATGATTTCATACCTGTTGCTCTTTATATTCTTATTTTGGGGTGCTGAAAATTGAATTCAAGGCCTTACATATACTAAACAACTGAGCTAAAACCTCTAGCACCAAATCTGCTACTTTTTTGTGAAATACTTTTTTAGTCATAAATATCCTTACGATTTATGAAAATAAATTAAAGTGCAAGCAAATAAGATACAGAAAACTAAAGTATAAATGTTGGTATGCTACATTTTCCAGCCATGTTTGGATTTTAATGAAAATCCTATATGACACATTTGGCACATAAGACCTTATAGTCAACACATATTGTAATAAGTTACAGTTCTCTGTGTTTTTGAAGAGTAGTAACATTTATCTGGTCATTTGATTAGCAGTTTTATGTAAGTAGAAAGACATGTTTTGATAGCATTTATCCCTCATCTTCCAATTGATATCCTTTTGACTAAGAAGTTCATTTTAGGTCTGTAACTCTTACACTTATCAAATTGTTAAAAAGAACACTCTTGCTTATGTTATTGCAAAATGCTATAAAATTGTATGTGTAAAAATCATCTTCAATAGGGTCTGGCTCCTTTGCAGACTTAGTAAGTGACAGGTATTGCTTTTGTTATACATATTAATTTTAATAGCACTGTGGAATTTATAGTCAATATAGAACCTTGTGATGTGCACACATGGATCCTCAGAAAAGCTTAATGTTGGAACTTAAAATCCTGACTAAGCTTTAACTTCCTTGTTTTAATAGAATCCCAAAACGAAAGAACAGATTGAAAATCTGTTACGAAATAGGATGAACAAGGAATTGAGAGATCGCCTTTGCTGCCGAATGACTTTTGGGACTGCAGGACTTCGTTCTGCCATGGGAGCCGGGTTTTGCTATATTAATGATCTTACGGTAATACAATCAACACAGGTAAATATTATGAACTATTTTTTATGTATTTTTTTGCTCTTTATTTTGCTATATTAATTAGATAGTGCCTCTACCTCCTTCATGTGCCACTATGCTCTGTTGGATAATATTTAATATTATTAGAATAAGTTGGTGAAACCATCCTAGTTGGGATATATTAATCTCTATCTTTCTATCTCATGTAGAGTAGAAAAATAATTACACTTGAATGGCTTATGTACTGGAAGTGACTGTGGCCTTGATTGATGCTGCCTTATCCTTAATAGTGCCTCCCATTAGAGTAGATCTTCAGTAACTCAGAATAACTTAATTTTAGTTAAACGAATGGCTTTGGGTTATTTATTATATGGAGCTTTACATACATGGGCATTTATTTTGTGTCCTCATTTTTAAAAATATTAAAAGACAGAAACAAAATAGTATTTGCATTTCTGAGTTATAAAGATTAAATTTCCCATCTCATTTTGCAGAAGTAACTGGATACCTTGGTCTTAACCATCTAGTAGAAAAATATGAAGAC